CAGCTCTGCTCCACCCTTCAGGATGGCGACTGGGAGTCATCTCAAGAGTACCAGATGCACAATACAAAAAAAAAAAGGGCAGGGAGAGTAGTTTTATTTTAAATAGTTTCTTTGGATACTTAACTAACCCATAAAACCAGCACTTAAAAGGCTAATTTTAGATCCTCAAGTTACTGGCAGATGAAGTTTATAATGGAATGAAATTGACACTGCCAGCCAGCTAATTCTGACCTCTAGCGACTGTCGGGCAGAGTAGAACTGCCCCCACGGGTTTCCCAGACTGTACATCTGTTGCGGAGTACACAGCCTTCCTTTTCTCTCACCGAGGGGCTGGTAGTTTTGAACTGCTTACCTTGTGGTTAGCAGCCACATGCGTAACCCACTATGTGAGCAGCCAATCCAGCCCTCCACCTGTTTCTGGAAATGCCGTTTTGTGGGAGCACAGCGACACCCGTCCCTTTAGGGCTTGTCTTCATGGGGAAGGGCAGGATGCCCCACAAAACCCAACAGTGAGTTCACTCCGGCCTGGACAGAAATTTATTGAGCCCCGCCATAGAATAGTAATTCCTAAACTTTTTTTGTTTTCAGACCTTTTTACGCCTCCAAATTATTGAAAACCCAAGAGTCTTGCTCATGTGAGTTATATTGATTGATATTTACTATATGAGAAATTAAAATTGAGAAGTGATAAAAAAAAGTTCATTTAAAAGTGGCAGCCTTAAATTTCTTGCAGGCTACCATAAAGTAACATTTGCCTGAAAAATAGTTGTATCGAGAGAACAGAAGTCGTCATGAGAGCCTAGTGAGTTGCAAATCAGTTTACTTTTGGGTCACTGGACGATGCAGGTGGTCCCTGCCTTCACGCCGGGCACCGTTCTGATAGCGTCAGCCTAGGCCAGTGCTCACATCGTTCCCTTCATTGTTCTTGCCTTTTAGTCTCAGAATCATTCTAACTCAGCTCTTTATTTGCCTTTGGGGCTTGGCATGAATTTAACACTAGCAAATCAAGTGCTGCCAAATTCTATGTAGCACGTATTATTACAATAAGACACAGAGTTTCAGTGGGGAACATACCTGTATGTATGTCCTCATATCTGTGTCTGCGTTCAGTTTGTTACTACGTTTTTCTGACTGAAAGGTATGAAAATCCGGTCCCAGACAGGTGAATAACATACCGTTCATTTCCGGCAGCATCTACTGTGCACGTCACATTCCACCACACAGGACGGCAGGGACAGCAGCCAGGAGCTGACGAAGGGTGGATTTTCATTGCTTCAGTAAGGGCATGCTAAGTGGGCCTTTTTGCCCTTTAGTGAGAGCGCTTGGCGGTGGAGTTTGGCATCACGTTCTCGATTCGTGCTAAGATGCCAGGGGGGGGATACACGCGGGTACACCTGATACACCATGAGTACAAGTGCTTGCACTCAGCCCAGCTCAAAGGCAGATAATATCTTAGTGTTTTTATGGAAAGAGTTATGGCTTCATGGACCCCTCGGAAAGGGTCCTGGTGACCAGCGGGGGGTTCGCAGAAAATTGCTGTTATAAAAGGTATCAGTAACCAACCCACCCACCCACCCACCCACCAACTCACCCAAACTCCCTGCCATCAAGTTGGAAGTTGGATTTGCAAATGAAAATGCACCCTTGTGCTGTTTGACTGAGATGCTAACTTTAAAATGTAGCTTTGCAGTATTGGTACTTGACTTAGTTTTTTGTACTTACTGGACAGTGATTATCTCTAGAAGTAATTGGCTATTAATATTGTTATTTACCAGTTTACGACGGCAGTTAAGTAAAAGTTTGCATCGCCTTGAACACTCCCCCAATCAGAAAGGAAGATGTTTGAAAAGTTGGTCCCCTACTGGAGTTTGTTTGGTTGCGTTTATCGGCTCATGATGATTTTTGTGTGCCTCTGAATAAAATGACTTGCCGAGAACCGTTTCACTGGCACCCTTCGATTCTCATGAGCTGCACAGTCACTTCCTGCTACCAGCCCTTGCACTTCAGGGGTTGACCACTAGATGTCACCCAAACCACAGGCGTATTAAGGGTTACCCAGGGTGGGTAGAAATTCGACATTGGAAGCTCAGGGACCATCACATAGTTCACTGTTTCCACACGGTCCCTGCCAGAAGAACCCAATACGGTGTGATATATAGAAGCAAGGTACAACTGGAATAATGAAATTTCAAAAATAAGCCTTTTTAAAGGAGGGTTGCAATCGTTCTGTTGGGTATTGTAAATGCTTCAGGTGCACTTGATACTGCTGTTAGGTTCCTGGCGTTTGGGGTGCTCTCCTTTTTATGGAAAGATGGATTGAACTTCAATTTAAGAATATTCGGTAATCCCTCTCAGGACATACTGTAACAGCTGGTATTTTTGTGTTGTAGTAAATGGATTCCATACAACAGTCAGTAATAATTACGGCTGGATTCTGACAAATTCCAAAGCTTTTTCAATAAATTCAGCCAAAGAAAAATAACATCATTACTGAAAAATTTTTATTCAATTTAAAAGTTCAGCTTAGCAACTCTGCTTTGCTCTGAACCACTTATTACAGCATTTTGTTAATCTGCTGGTAGGGAAGTGTCTAAGAAGATGGCTTTGGGTAGTGTATGCGTCTTAAATAATGAATTAAACACTACCACGGGGTGTTCATGATGAATGAAAAACTGAGAAACACTAAGGCCTTTCCTATGAGGGAGCCTCAAAAGTTGGTAGGAAAATTCCATTATCTTCTTAATTCCATTTTCCATGAAAAATTTGAAACCCGGTCTTCGATGCCATTAGGTGTAGAGCAGCAATATTGAGCCAAGAGAATGTTTTCACGTGCAATGCAGAAAGTTCTTTTGTATTAATGGAATCTGAATGTACCCAATTGCTTCAAAGTCTAATTTTGTTTGCCTTAAGTTGACTTACTATAGTTTCTAAAAGTAGAATAAGGTTAAGTTCTGCCAACCATGGGGACCAAAAAAAAGATAGTTCTCATTCTAGAAATTTTAGAGTCTAGGCCTTTCTGTCATTAGGCAATTTGTGCCGTACGGATTTTGACTCCCCTCATTACAAAAAGAGCTTAATTATAAGCACACCTTGTGCACACAGGCTAGAAACACAGCTCACACACATATAGGTAGCTTAAGAGGCAAGTGTATTTGTGCATGTGTGTGCATGTACACTGCACAAAGGTTAGTCATTTTCTTTTTCTCTTTCAATAAAACAAAAGCCTAATCGAGTATGTCCTTCTTTAAATGATGTATGGTCTATCTATCTGTATTTCTTTGTGTTTGTATTCAGTTTCTAGCCTTGCTTTATCTAAGGAACACTTTTATGCAATCAAATCTTAATCTGTACTAGTTGGAGTATTGCATGGGGAAAAAAAGGTGCTTTTAAAAAATTAAATGGGAAAATAGCTCCTGAGATGGCTATTAATGAACACCTCCAATTTGTCCTTTTGTTTTCCTTTAAGCTTGATTGTAGCATTTTTTGGCTGATATTTAAACAGCTGTCCTTCCCTTTGTAGTCACTGCCACCTCCTGCATTGATTTGTCTGCGTCTGTGGATTATGCCAAGCTTTGTCTAGTCAAACAGAATCCTTGGGGCTACACCCCGCACGAGTCGATTCCCTGGTGAATATTTGTATACTGCATTTCACTTTGATAATTAAGGAAAGTCACTGAGAAGAAAAGTAATCGAATGGATGTTTGGTGTGGAAACACCCCCCCCCCCTTTTTTTTTTTAATTCTGTAATGTCACTCAGCCGCCTGAGGGCCTGGCAGAGGTGAAGCAAGGCAGTGATGACAGGTGTTTACGGCTACGACCCCTCCCCCCTTCATCTTAATATGTCAAAGTCCACTTTTAAACGACAGGGAGATAACGGGGAGAGTGCATAAGAACATGAACTTGAGCAACCGTGCGGTTCTTGTGATCCCGCACGCAGCCAAGCGGGGAGCACGCTTTTGTTATCAGGCAGCAGTGATCCAACTTTAAACCAGATGGTCTCTCGCTAGGTGTCAGACCGATGCAAATTCTAATGTTCCTCCTCTCTCCCGAGGTTTTTAAAAAGAGAATTATTTTATTATCTCCTTGCCAGAATGGAGAGGAACCCCTGTTCCAACAGCCAGCATTTATTGTTTGCTCCCCGTCTGCCATTGGGCGCCTCCTTAGGGAGTCATTTCAAATGCCCTCTCTATTTGCATACGGTGAAAGCAAGGCTTCATACCAAGCTACTGCCCAGGATCGCATAGCTTGCAGGGCCAGTCTCCCCCGCATTCTAGAGCCAAGTGCTCTGCACCACTACTTTACTGCCTTTCCTTTGGAAAAAGGCATTAGGGGACTTACTGAAAAAAAATAAAGTTTTCATATTTTCCCAAGTATCTTGAAGTTTCTTTTCTACCCAAAGAATTGACTTTTGTGTCTTAGCTTGAATGATTGGTTTAATCGATGGCTAACAATTCTGTAAATGCTTAATGCTTACAGGTGTATATCGCCTCTTGCCTTTGTCATTTATGGCTAATCTATTTTCAAGACAATAAAGGACTCGCACTTGTATGCAGACACACAATTTAAAATATTTCAATTAGCCCTAAGTTGCTGGCAGTGTAAATCTTTGTTCCATGTGTAGGATTATTGCTTAAAAATTACGAGGACAGGCTTTCAGAAAGGTAGTGGTTTTTAAAACCGTCTTACAAGTTCCGTGTCAGTCCACACAGTAACTGTTTCCTAACCACTCTCTGTCAAAATCTCTAAGAACACCTTGGTAGATGCATAGAGAAGTTTCCTCTTTTTAATTAGAAGTCTCACATGCGCCCGGGAAGTGCTCGAGTCTGTGTATGTGTTGTTTGTGGGGAGAATTCTGCAGTGTGGACAAACCACTCTGCTAGCATGCGGAAATCATGGTTTTGAATTAGGTACAGAATGCGGTAAGCTAGCAATAGTCCTCAATGTTTTGCAGAAATAAAACCAAAAATGTATTTCTTTTCTTTCCAGGACAGTTTTATCCGACTGCATCTGAACTTGGTGGACAACGGGGCTGCCAGCAGTTGAGCTGAATTCCGTTGCCTCGTCCCGGTGGGAGAGTGTTGGACGTGGAGCAGCCTGTGGCCGGAATCATGCCTGCCCTGTCGACCGGCTCGGGGGGTGACACAGGTGGGTGAGCCTGAGAGCGCCACACCGTTGTGCTCACAGTGGAAGAGAAGCTTGCTTTAAGGAAGCGTGGATGAAGGTCTTGCTGGGTTGCTGTAATCACAGAGAGGCATCACTTCTGAGTCAGCATGGCATGCCGAGGACAGCGTGCTGGGCAGGGACTGCCTGCTTCTCCCCACGCAGGGCCTTGGGTCATTTGTGGCGATGCTCCCCGACTGCCTTGCCTTTGGGATCATGCCATACATTTAAATTTTACAAAGTTACATCTTGTTAATGTACAGAAAATGGTGACAAATCACGTGGTACCCGTATCACCCCCAACCAGATTTAATGACAGATCCAAACCTTTTGCCATACTTGGCTTGAGTTACTTTTTTCTCCTTAAATTTAAAAACAAACAAAAAAACCCAAACCTTATTTTTGCCCTAATTTTCCATGCTCTTTCTCCTTGTCATCAGTTTGTCCCGAAGCGGCTGGATGTCAATAAGGGAGTCAATAAACCAACACACTCACGGATAGCTCACCTTTCTATCAGCTGTTAAGACTTATTAACACATCCCTTTGTGTATGCACACGCAGTCTGGTCTGATTCCACGGCATGGGGCGAGGTGAGAGGGGATAAAAGTAGTCAGTGCCCTTCAAGGTCCTGTTCTGGGATTTGCCTGAATTAATCAGCACCATTTTAAAAATATGTAGACTTATGGGCCCCTCCCAGAGCCATCAGAGCAGAATCTGAGTTCGTGAAGGGGGAGCTGCGGCCCGCTCTTTTAAGACCCCTCTCAAGAAGTGGTCGCGCAGAGGGTGGCGGTGGGGACAGTTCTCAGGGTCCCCAGACCTGCACTGAGTTGCTCCAGCCAATCGCCACCTCTCACCAGCTGTGATGGGCATCTTAGACTCAGCAATTATCCATCCTTTTGAAAAAGGCCCCATAATTTATTTAAAATAGCTGAATCACAAAGTTGCTTTTGTGTTGTGTTATGTTACATTGACATTTTCACTCGTGCTGTTTGCTAAGAGAACTCTCTGCTGTTTCCAGCACACCATCCCTTACACTGTGCAATCGCCGTCTGTCTTTACCCATCCAGGCGGGTTGGACTTTCCCTCCCCGCTGCAATTCTACCGCGAGTTAGTTTTTTCAGGGAAGGCTTTGACTGTTAAACGGTGTGACTCTGTGTGTGTATGTGTGTATAAGACATTAACTTGGAAATAAGCCACACCGAACATTTTTTCCTTCATTTTAGCTTTTATATAGTCCCACATTGTGGTCTACTATATAAAAAGAATGATTAAGTTTTCCATAGTGGCTTGGGAAATCATAGATAGAATTTATTTGAATCATAAATTTATTACAGTTGTGTAATGAGCCCATATTTCACCAAAAGTGTTCACCAAAAGGGGCCTGTTTGATTGGATACAAAAATATTGTTTACATATAACTCAAGTAATGATTAAAAGGGAGTATTTATAATCTGTATGACAGTTCAGGTGTCAGCCATGGAAAATACAGGATAGACAGATAGATCGATGGATAGACAGACAGACAGATAATAGATAGCATTTAAGACAGGCTTTTCCACACACAGGAGCTCACTGGGCTGCAGGCCTCAATCATGCACCTCCCTGGCTCAGGCCTTCTTTTGAGACTTTTTGAGCCTGGATTTCAACCAGGTTTCAGGCAGAGCAAGAAGACAAGCCCGTTTGAGTTAACCACCCTCAGGGAAGGCCACAAATATGATGGATGATGGATGTTTATAGACCCTGGGTGGAGTAGTGGGTTCCACGCCGGACTGCTAACGGCAGGGTCACCTGTGGGACCCCAGCAGCTGCTCCGTGGAGAAAGATGAGCAAGACTCACAGTCTGAGAAACCCGCAGGGCACTGCGGTCCCACGACTCAGATCGACTTGCTGGCAATGAATTTGGCCTGGAGAGGGTGGGCAGTGCAGGGTGTTGACAGTGTGAACCCACCCAGGGGTGCCACCGGAGAAAGTCCTGGCGGAGGAAACCCAATGGATGGTTGTCCTCGGCCACACGGTCGCCTGCCGTGAGTTGGAAATAACTGGCAAAAGGTTAAAAAAGAAAAAAAAATTTTTAATAGTTCTTTCTGATCTGGATGCAGTTTACCAACCAGGGATCATACATTCCATGAGCTGCGCTGTTGAGCGATATTGTTGTTTTTCTACAGTTGTCCGATCTCCATGGGAACAGAGCTGGAGGGTGTGTGGACGGTCAGCTTCTCTTGCACAGGGGAGAGGCCCCTCCCCGCTCATCCGCGTACGAGAAAAGGCTGTCAACGAAGCTTTTACCTGTTTGGTCCTTTCCCCGTTTCTGCTTTCTTCACCAGGAAAAGAAAGAAAAACAAAACCGAATTATTGATACAGTACTACATGGAGCCCTGTTTGCCAATGACGCACGGGTGCAAAGGGGAGTAGAATTCGGGGCACTCACCCTTCTCCTTTCCCCTAATCTTGCTTTCTTTCTCTCAAGTCTGCTTACTACCAGTTTGAGATCAGTATCTTTCCCATGTTTTAGACACCTGTGCATATGGCATGAAAATTTACTTTTGCATTGTAGTTTGTTCTTTGTAAATGCAACTTTCCTCTTCCCTTATGCATTGTTCCATAACTTCCTTCCTTCCTGAATCAGTATGTGTTGGAGAAGAATTTCCCTGGTAGGCATATGTCAGTGTACATTCAGGGTTGTTGATATGCCACTCTAGTTCCCTCTATATGAGGAGGCGTCACAAAGTTTGTGCCACATTTCATTATCTCTAAATTTTGCCCCCCCCCCCCCCCCATGAACGTTGTGTGAAGCTGCTCGGCATATCGACTCTGTCTTTTCAGCCAGTCCTCAGTTTTCGTAGTGTCTTAATTTGGCGAGCCAGCTTAGCGTGCATGAAAGCCTGGACTTGCCCTGCGTCAGTATTTCGGGAGGAAAGATGTGCACATTGAATGGTTCTCGGCAAATTATTCCCCAGAGTGGCTAGACCATAGTGGATTCAAGGTCTTCGTCCCCCTGTAGCGTCCCCAATATTTAATATCAACAGTCTTTGTGCTTTCTTTATCTGCCTGATGGAGAAGACAAGCTCTCTGAAGTACTCAATGTACCCAGTTCCTGAATTTGAGCGTATTTCTGTTAATTTATGGATATTGTTAGCTGGTGACTTTTGCCTATTTACATTTCCCCCTTTTTTCTGTGTTGTTTTCTTATGTTTGATATAATGCAAATACGTTTATGGATTACGTTCTTTATTAATTTGTTGAACCACTCTAAGTTGAAGGCTACTTATTCTGGTCAGTAATATCCCCTCCCCCCTTTTTTCTTTAATAGTATGATTTTAAAATGGAAATTCAAAATGAAACTTAGAGTCAAATCAGTCTTTTCTCTACAGTTCATGCTTTTTATCTTCTGGATAAGGAGGCCTTCCATTCCCTAATGTCATGAAGGTGTTCTCTAAGATCATTTAACCTTAAAAGGTTATCTTTACAAATTTAGAATTCTAATTGAAATCTGTATGTGGGGGTGAAGCACTAATTTAATCAAAACTAATTTTACCTACCTACATAGACAACTAGTGTTCCCAGAATTTTTACAGTAAATTCATCATTGACTTGTAACAGCCTTGCATCACAACCATTATCACATGTGCTCCGGGTGCTGCCCTTGGCTAGCTGCTAAGATCTGCAGAGCTTACTTTTAAAAAGGAAAAAGTAGACTTTACGATTTGTTTAATTGAAAATTTATTTTAGATTTATAGAGAAATTGTGCCATAACACCTCGAATTCCTTTACCCCCCATTTCCTTTGCTGGTATCTTACATTAGCATTGCACATATGTTAAAATGAAGGGATGGATGTGGAGACAGAGCTAATTAACTAAGTCCGTAGTTTATCCAGAGATAGTTTTCACATCGTGACATTGTTCTGTTCTCCGTTCTCATCTGGGATTCCACATTGCGTTTCCTCCGAGGTCCCCTTAGGCTCCCCAGGGAGGTGGCGTGTCCTCAGACAGCCCCTGTTTGTGGTGGTCATGACAGGGAGGGAGGAACATGGTTCCCACGCTCGAGTTGCCTGATAGTTTTCTCTTTGTTAAGCCGGGGTTCTAAGATTCTGGAAGGAAAGACCAGGAGAGGGGATTCGCCATCTTTACCCCGTCATGTCGTGGACACAGACCATCAGCCTCGACTGTGTGCTGACCTTGGTCATGGGGCTGAGGTCATGTCTTGCAGGGCTGCTCTCTGTGTGCTTCCTGATCCTCTCCTCACTCATGCCTATACCGTGACCTTGGACAGGAGGTCTCTGTGTCCAGTCCGACAGTCTCTTACTGCTTTCCTTCATAGTACCTATCTTAGTTTAATTTATAAATTCATGAAGTGTGATTTTTACAAGCAGCATATAATGTGAAATATAATATACAGAAAAGCATATAAAACTTATGTAAGTAGTTTAAAAATTGCTTATAACTTCAAAATCCATCTGTCTACCACTTGAGTCAAGAGGCAGAACGCCCTTCAATCTGTTACCCTGAGAGAATCTCTAAAAACCCAAACCAAACTCACTGCCAGCCACTCGATTCCAACTCGGGCACCCTGTAGGTCTGGGTAGAACTGCCCCTGTGGGTGTTTGAAGGCTGCAACTCTTGACCGGAGTAGAAAGCCTCATCTTTTTCCCTTGGCGCGGCTGGTGGTTTCAAACTGGTGACCTTGCGGTTAGCAGCCCAACATGTAACGAGTACACCACTAGGGCTTCTGTAATCTTTAAAACTTAGACCAAAATATCTCCTACAGTCTTCTTAAAGTCACTTGTTGCTCCCTAAGTTCGTTACGTTTTTGTTTTACTTTAGAATTATTTTATCATTGACTATTTAGAAGTTTTAAAAATATCCAAATAGGATTTTGAAAAGCCCCAAACCCCTTTTATGATTGCTTTTTCCCCTAATTGTCTTGTGGTCAAGAAAATTCCTTTTCATCATTTCATTTTTTGGAAATTTATTTAGACCTGCTTTG